CTCCCCCTCCCCCTTATATAGGTTTCTTTCGGGTTGTGTCAACTCACGAACGACACAGGAACCGACGTCGTAAATTAATCCAACAATAATACAATTTGGGCATATTAAGTTTTAACACAATCTTTCACCCATATACTGGTGAGCAATATGCAATAATTATATATACACTAGATGATTTATTGATTTTTGTGTTTATAATTTTAGAGAAAGCTAAGAGAATTGTATTTCACTAAGTAAGTTTGCTTATAATAATGGCCTTCAATAAAATATTGGAATGAAAATATATGAACCTTGCATGATCAAAAGTATAAGAATCATTATTTTAAATATGAGTTAGTGATAATATATCTTTATTCTTTAATTAGTACATGATAATATAAGGAATATTAAGTTAATTTAAGAAAAAAATGAAGGTAACTCATGATATGCAAAGAAAGTTATTATATGAAAGAGCATTTATAACAAGTTTGAGTGGGTGATTGATATTCATTATTGCTTGTCAATAGAAAGGGGTGGATAGATTTGGTTACAAAAATGGAAACTCAATCCTTGATGTAGTTGTCCCTTCAAAATGAATAGCCCTAGTTGGAAAATATACTAATAGATTGCAATTGTTAAATCATAAATAAGATGTCAACCATGTAATTGATATATTTTTATAGATAAAATATGTTGTCGATGCAGGGAATAAAGTTTCAGATATTGAAGAAAACTACAAACTAATTTATGTTACATGGAAAAAGCTAATCACATAATAGCCTATAATGTGAAACAATTAAGAAATAAATGAATGTTGATGGTGAAAATTCAGTGCAACCTTTTCTAAAATGACAATAATATTGAAAATGAGTGTGAAATGAAATAAATTTAACACACACACACACATACTTTAATTTTTTGCATGTACACAACCTTAAGCATGCATGAAAAGCTATATTTCACTTTTTAAAAGTTAAAATAATGGTATTTTTTTATGTGATATAATAAATTAGGCGGTATAAATGCAAAAAAAGTTAAGTTTAGTATTAGATGCATGTTGTACATTAAGATAGGTGTTTGCACAAATTTCAAGGAGTCAAATAAACAAAAGTAAAAAAATAAGATTAAGAAAGACCCACAAACAGAAGACCAAGGGTCCCACAGGTGACAAACTAAGGGTACACCAACGAAAGATCAATGACCCACTAGCAAAATACTAAGGGTCACTAATAAAGTACCATAAGACTGGCTTGAATAGGTGCAGACCACTTTAATTGGGGCAAGAGGCCAACCAAATGTAGGCCATTCGAGCTAAAGACCAAGGCTAATATAGTGAAGTAGAGGCATCAACTTTTCTCTCGCCATAAACCGACTCAAGTTAAGAATTCAACATCTCCATAAATCTCATGGACGCTCTTGAGATTCTTGATATGCGGCTAAGAACTGACCATATCATAATCATAATAGAGCATCATGAAGGATGTTTCATCAAGGAGTGAGCTACCAATCATATTACAATGACTCATCATCTGCTTGATAGCTTAACCTTACTCTGCCGACGAGAGTTCTTTATCTAGGGATCAACAATTGACAACTAGACCAAGAAAGACGACCATTAAAGCCAAGTCGATCGTGTCAAGTCCTACTGAACTGAAGGCCATCGAGGACCAACCGACAACCCCGATCGGATGCAGTCAGACAAACTGGTCTTAACCAAGTCAAGACCAACTGATCTCAACCAACCAAACCATAAGGTAGTTTAACTAAATGTCTATATTTGTAAAATATCTAAAATATCATATAACGCCTACACTAAAGAATGTGTAGAAATGTAACTTTATATATTGTACCACCCCCCTATAAGTATGAGGGCCATTTCATGTGAACCACCATTCTCTATAAATAGGAGGGTCATTTCATGTGAAAATACTAATTAACAATTCAAATTACTATTAATTGCTGTGCACTTCTCTTACAGTGTCTATCCCTCTCTTCCTCTCTCTCTTGTCTCACACTCTATTCCATGAGTATGATTCCAAACATATCAAAATTCAACACATAAATACATAGGAATCAAGTGTTTTGTACGTAAACGCCCCTAAACAATATTACCATATTGCTAACTTTTTAAATGTGAAATGCACATTTTAAATGTATAGATTTATGCCACCAAAGCATTAAATGTAAATATGAAAGTTTGTGTTAATTAGTAAATACATAATAATTATATGGAATGCATGCAAAATTCTCTTCAAGCTAATACAATAAAGCAAATATCACTACAAATTTCATTTTAATCGATAATATATATTGATAAAATTAAATAGGTTTGACCGGTCATTAATTAATACATTCGAAACATTCATTCACTATCTTTCTCTCTAATCTTATTATGTTCCAAGTTAAAAAAAAAGAAAATGTTAATGAGCGTTGAGAGTTTCCGCTTACACGCCATAAACTATATTACATTTATTGTTTAAATATACAATAACAATAATTTAAAATTAAGGCCATTCACATATAAACCACACAATTCTTATCTATTTATATATCTAACACTTAAATATTTATATGTATACACTCAATTTTTTGATATTAAATAAAAAATATCACTCTTATTAATTTCTTAAAAGCGAACATGTCTTCTCGTACATAATTTTATAACAACAAAGCTTTATAAATATAAATATAAAAATTTTGGTGTTAGATATATAATTACATAATTAAGTGATATGTGTGTTAGAAATATAAATATCAAAATTTAAGTATTAGAAATATAAGCGCATTAGGAAAAGGGGCATTTACATACCTTTCACCTAAATTTAACTTTTTTACATTAACTTTTAAAAATTGAATCAAACCTTTTTAAAAATAAAGAAAACGGTATATACATATATATATATATATATATATATATTAAAAAATCATTTCTTTAAAAACTTAAAAAAAATAAATTTTACATCTTAAATAATTAAGAATTCAGGGGTATATATGTAAGAAGATAATCTAAGCGTAAAACTGGCCCGGATTCCACAGCAGCATACAAGTCGCCAAAAACTCCTCGCTTAACTCTAGATCTGTGAAGGGAGACTATAAGAGCCGTTCCTGAAAGCAAGTCGAAGAGGTGAAGGAGAGATGAAGGGGCATCCAAATGGCGAGATTGAGGGCTTCGTTGGTGAAACTTTATCCGCCGGAGTAATATTGGGGCTTGACGGCGGCACCACCTCCACTGTCTGCATCTGCATACCGGCGACGGCTTCGATTCCTTTCACCGGCACCAAAGCTGCCGAATCTATTGAGATTCTCTCTAGGGCTAGCGCTGGCTGTTCCAATTTCAATTCCGTTGGAGGTAAGAATCCATTCCAATCATCTTGATCTGGTTTGCTCCAATACAACTAGAATGAATTTGTCGTATGTGATCAGGGTATTAGTTGTTCATTTACGACTGGAAGATTTTTTTTGTCAGCCAGATTAATGCGAAAGAGGTATACGGAGGTGAATTGGGTGGAATATTTTCTATTGTTTCATCTAAGTTAAAAGAGTAGAAATCGAAGGAAATGTGGGCGGCTGGACAGAGTGGAAGTAGAAAAACCGATTTTGATTGTCTTTTTTGGCCTTATGTAGGTTTATCTAGTCGACGAACTTCGGTCTACCTTTTATTTCATGAAGCGAAGCGACGTAGAGGTCAATGATATTTTAGATATTCATAGGACTGCCGATTTGTTTAAGCTTTTGCATTTGAGATTTATGGCTCCGCTCTACCCATTCAATATATTTGAAATTAAATTTTGCTTTGAATTTGCCATGCCTGAAACTGTTATTTTTGCTGCTTAATGCTACTTAATTATTTTGTTTATTTTGCTCTATACCGTTTCTTCCCTTCGAGTAAAAAACGTTACGTTACACTTTTTTGGTGTCTTCCAGCCATCAGAGTCAGTATTAAATCTACTTTGTCTTTTCAGCTTAGAAATGGAGTGATAGAACGCCATTACGACACTGGCTTTCACCGCTTTTATAAGCCGCTTCAAATGGATCTTTTATTCCTGTCAGAGGGGAAATCGCCACGCCCCTTGCTTTCCTTATACTTAACGCCAATGAATTTTTTATTTACGACCTTATTGTTCTCTAGCAGAAAAAGTCTTTCTTTTAGATCCCTGCAGACTGGTCTTCTGACTTGGAAACAGATGTTTTACGAATCATATGGGGAGTCACATGTTGACTATAAGACACATGCCTTCATATATCCTCTTATTTTGTGGCTCCGTTCTTGCATCAAATTGTGAAAGTGGCATCCAATCGTCCTCTCCTTATATACTGCGCCAGTTCCATTGCTGGCATTTTCGTTTACACTTTTTTGAGGCATACAGCGAGCTCTTTGCAGTTGTTGTGTTGCTAGATCCGGTCATATATTCCAATTTGTTTCGCTGGGATCGTTTTGTTAATAAACCTTTTTTTGTTTGATCTAATTCATCCTGCGTGATTTTTTTTTTATATGGAGATCATAAGAATATAGGAAAGAACCTTCCACTTTTGGAAGATTCACATACTTACCACTCACTTATTAATTATTTACATGTCTAACACCTAAAATTTAATTTTTACATACATGTCACCTTACCTATGCATGAAAAGGTGAAATTAAAAGTTAAATGGTGGTATTTTTGATGTGATATGAAAGATTTGGTTGGTATTAATGTAAAAAGCTACAGTTCATGTGTTAGATATGTAAATACATAGGAAAATGCCCCCTAAAGTTTGTATGGTCCTTTTTGTAAGACAGTGTTCATCTGCATAGTTGGTGCATGAAGTTCCTCTGATATGGACTGCAAAAAGGATGCCTTTATTTAATTTTGAATTTAAAAAAAAAAAAAAATTTGAAGCTTTTTTACATATTATTCCACAGAAGCTGCAGCAAAGAAGACACTAGAGAAGGTTATAGCCGAAGCCCTTTCCATGGCTCATTCTACTTACTCTGCTGTTCGAGCAATTTGCTTAGCAGTGTCTGGTGTTAATCATCCTTCAGATCAACAAAAGATTTTGGAATGGGTCATGTATGTTCCCTTGTTTTTCTTTTCAAGCATACCTAAACGGATATTTCAATTACAGTGACATATAATGCTGCAAAGTAATCAAGCTTAGTCTAGACATATTCTATGCAGTTCTATTGTTGTCTTAGGCTAAATTGTATAATTTATTTTTAGTATGATTATTGACTTTTAATGTTGATGTTGTGATAATATTGCTTAAATTGTATTACTTTTGGCGTCATTTATAATTGCATAAATTATGTGGTGCTAAATCTTCCATCTTTCAATCTATTTAACTACTCTTATAATTACAGTTCATCTGATGAAATATCTTTTAATTTATGCCTAAATTTAATCGACATAATCCAATTCTTATCTCAAATATATCATTAACATTCCACTAAAAAGGACCTTCTCCACCAAGGTCATACCGGCTTCACTAGGTCCTGGTATAACACATTTCTAAGGCGTCTAAATTCAATGTTTTTTATGCACCAAGAGAGAAGCTTTCAGAAGAGAGTGGAAATTCCTATTTGGTGAGAGTGAATTTTTAGGTGTTCAGCTTGCATCAACGCTCTGCACCCACTTTTCTGGCCATTAATGTATCTTGCTTGTCCTGGCTTGACTGAAGGTGTTTTTGCTCTTCTACTTAACAAGAACTTTTAATTTTTTGGGGCCTTTACATACATACCGCCCAATTCTTATGTATTTACATATCTAACACCCAAACTTTGATTTTTTATATTTATACCATCCAAAACTTAATTTCACATTACAAGTACCACTATTTTTAACTTGTAAAAGGTGAAATGCATCTTTTAATGAATGAGTAATGTGGCATATATGTAAAAATTGAAGTTTAGGCGTTAGATATGTAAATAGATACGAATTAAGTGGTATGCATGTAAATCTGCCTTAGTTTTCAATTGCAGCGATCTATTTCCTTGTCCTGTCAAGATAATCATAGAGAATGATGCTGTGGCAGCAATGGCAAGTGGAACATTGGGGAAGCTCCATGGCTGTGTATTGATTGCAGGCACTGGTTCTATAGCTTATGGTTTTTGTGAAGATGGAAGACGAGCCCGTGCTGCAGGTGCAGGACCTATACTAGGTGACTGGGGAAGGTTAGATTTTGATGAGCACCATTCTCACCATTGTTCAAGTTAATTCTTAAATTTTTTTAGTATGTCAATATCAATAATACTTGTGCTACTCTTCACTTCAGTTATAATGTAAAACAATTTAATGTAAAACATTTTTTGTTTAGATACTGTATCTTTTGACACTAAATAGGATGCTATGGAGAAAAAGGATTCAGGTAGTCGACCCCATGTAGTGGGACTAAGGCTTTGTTGATGTTGTTGTTACTGTTGTTGCTGTACTGTCTTTTTTGTGGTCTGATTTTTCAAATATCTAGTAGATTTGATTTGTTTAACTTGATTCCGTTAAGATCTTGTTTTTTTTCAGATCTCAAAAAATCTTGTAACTAAATGCTTAATCTGTAAATTGTTTTGTAAAATTAGAGGATACTTTGGACTGCTAAACCACGCAACACAATTCATGAATTATAATAGAATATTATATATTAAGGGTACTGGTGCAAATCATGTGCGGTAAGTGCACATTCCCAAGTTTAATTTTTACAAGAAAAAATGAATTTCTGCTGAATACCAAACTTTTGAAAAGGAGCGTTTTTTTACTGTGCTATATAGAAAACATTTTCAATAATAATTAATATTTGAATAAATTTCTGCTAGTAATTTGTTAAAAATGAATTGCCAGGCGGAATAAATGAATTTGCTAAAATGCTTTCTATAAAATTGTTAATAAATATTTGAATATAAAAAGAAATATACTTCAATAATAATAAGATATATTTTTTAGAATTGCCAGGCGGAATAAAACATTTTTGGAGTTCAAATTGATTTGGTGGGGTGCTTAGAACTAGACATGCGGACAAAACATTTTTGGAGTTCAAAATGAGAATTTTTCGAGGTTGCTTATGTGGAGCATTCAACGCAACATAGGGAACATAAATTTAAAGTGGTGCTGTCAATTGACCTACTTACACTAAAAGGAAGAAAGGGAAGGGTTTTGCCATAAAAAAAATAAGTCACAATAATACAGGAAAAAGTAGGTCTGATATTTCAATCTTTAATTGATAGAAATAATATCGAAATATTGAGAATTATGTATTTTTTCTTCAATGATATTGAAGTTGTACCAGAGAGGAGGCCATTTTGACCACTTGGACTAGCAGTTGATCAATTGACTGATCCATTTTACCTCATATAACCAATTTCTTATGAATTCAAAAAAAAATACTATTTTAAATTGATGCTCGCTAGTGATGTGAAACTCGTACTCTATAGGCGGTAGAACACATGCCTTTTGCTTTGCACAAAGCTGCCTCTGTTAAGTTTAATTTCATTTGCTTTTGATTAGTTGGATGAGGCAATCTAATTTCTGAGTTTTATTTTTTGCAAAAATCATACAATATTGTCGGTATAATTTGATGTATTTTTGGATAGTACCTTATGATATTTATTAACGGGTAATACATTCTAGTATGTCAGTCTCTATGTGAAGTTTTAGTTTTGATTGCATGGTGTTATACATCTATTTTATATATTATGATAGAAGTTATATTAGGGTAGGATTTTATTTATTTCCTGTTTTGTCCTATTTATGTATTCCTTTTATTTTCGGCTATTTATAGGGGTTTCTGTTTTTTAGTTTATTTGATTTGATTTTTGTAATCTTGGAGATATGAGTGTTATTTCTTTTATAAGTTTAGGAGATATGGATGTTATTTCTTTCCTATGTATAAGATATATGGATGTTAATTCTTTTCTAATTTTAGGATTCTAGTGAGATGTACTTAAGCTAACATTTTGTATCAATAAATTGATTCAGCTCAATTCTCCAAACCTACTTGTTCTCAGAGTCAGAGATCTTACCCTAGCCGTTGGAACTCTACTTGTTTGGCCAATTCTTCTTCCCGCAGCAAAAATCTTCCTTCTATTTTTTTTTCTCCAAGCCCGACTCTCCTCCATAGAACCATAATTTTTTGTTGCAGTCCCTCCTCTAGCCGGAACCCCTTCCTACAATCGAAAATTCTTCCCTACAATTTTCCAGACGCATGGATTGATTTCTTTCGTATCTTGGCGGCCAATCCTCTCCTTTGGCTCCGTTGGAGCCGTGGTTGATTCCTCCACTTCGAGCTTCCATTCGACGTTGTTTTGATTCGACTGGAGGTTCGACATCTACCTCAATCCCTCTGTAGATAGGAGGATCTAAACGTCCATGGAGTTCTTAATTATCACTCATAAACTCAGCGGTTTCAATTTCCTTCAGTGGTCTCAAGCTATTTTGTTGTTCATCCAAGGTCGGGTTAAGTTTGACCACCTCACGGGCATGATTCGAGAACCTTAGAAGACTGATCCAATATATGCTGCGTGGGAAATGAAGAGCTCCATGGTTATGTCATAGCTAATTAATTCAATGGAAACCTATATTGGTTGTTCTTACTCATTTTTTCCGTCTACAATCACCCTATGGACAGCTGTTGACGATATCTGCTCAAACTTAAGTAATTGTGGACAACCCTATGATCTTTCTAATAAGGTTCGTGAGGCTAAACATGGATCAAAAATGGTGACCCAATACTACAACGTCTTGGTTGCTTTATGGATAGAATGTGATCTCTACTATGAATACACTTGAGATTCCCCACAAACCTTTCCCTCTTCCATAAGATTTTGTAAAAGATTGCGTGTTTCAATATCTGGCTGGTATGAACAAGGATTTTGATGAAGTCTTCGGCCGTATACTTGGCCATGATCCTCTTCCTTCAACCCGGGAAGCATTAACCGAGATTCGCCTTGAAGGAAGCTGGAGACTTATCATGCTCGACAACTCAATTACTTCTGTCAAGCCGCCAACCTTGGTCTCCAAGAGTACTCCATACTCTGCCACACTGTCTCAAGTCAATGACTCCACTTGTACTTTTTACCCCAAACCATTTCATATATGTGATAAGTGTTGCAAGCTCCATGGTAAACCGAAAAGTACTTCTTCAGCCAAATCTTCTGCTGCTAAAGATCTCTCTACAACCTTAGAATCCCCAACAATTCAGTTGGCCTCTACTCAGATCATTCTAGACTCGCCGAACTCTATTAAGAGTCAGGTGGAACATTTAATTAAGCTGTTTGGTTCTAGACAGATCTCCTCCTGCTCATTGACCTATCATACCCGTCAAGATAACGTCTCTATGGCTCTCGTAGGTCTTGCTTCTATGGTTCTGTGGATTATCGATTTAGATGTCACAGACCAAATGACAGGGTGTTCTCATTTTTTTGTCGACGTATGCTCTTTAGTCCGGGTGATATACAATTAAAATTGCCAACGATTTCTTTAATTCCATTCAGGGTAAATGGTCTGTTTTACCAGCAGTCGGGTTAACTTTGGAATCTTTGTTATATGTTTTTTTGCTTAAGTGTAACCTCTTCTCGGTCAGTAAGTTAACATGTGATCTTGATTGTGAAGCTTATTTTTTCCTTGGATTTTGTATCTTTTTGAATCGTCATTCAGGGAGAATGATTGAAACTGTCAAGCGAGTACCAGGGCTTTAATTTTTCCAAAAAATGACAATTAATTTTGTTAGGACTCAATCTCATAGTTGTAATTTTTCTTTTTCTCTTGTTTATCTAATTATACTTTTACATTATTGTTTGGGTCATTCCAACCTTCATTATTTAAAACAATAGTACTTTTTGATGTTTATTGATAAAAAGTCTTCTTCTTTTAAATGTAAAATTTGTGAATTAGCTAAACATCAACGTATCTCATATCCACTTCATTCGTACACTCCTTTCTTGTTTTCACTTATTCATGGTGATTATGAGGTCCGTCTCAAACTTCTAGCTATACCAATAAATGATTGTTCATTACTCTAATTGATGACCACACTCGGATGTCTTGGGTCTATATATTAAAAAATAAATATGAAGCAACAATCATATTTAAAAAATTCCACCCCTTCATTCTAACCCAATTCAAAAGCACCGCTTAAGTTCTTCGGACCGGCAACGACTTTGAGTACTTTAAATCTATAATGGGAGAATTCTTGGTCAGTAAGGGCTTCATCATAATTTCTTTATGGATACATCTCAACAAAACGGGGTAGCCGAGCGAAAAAATAGATAAATTCTCAAACTTGCTCGTTCTGTTATGCTTCATGCTAATGTTCTTAAGCATTTTTAGAATGACACTGTCTTTATCGCTACATACCTCAGCGATAGAGTTTCCATAAAAATTCACAACTTATGGGCCCAATTATTGATGATTTTTCATAAAAGTCCACAACTTACAAACCCCATTATCCGCCTTATTGTCTTATTTTCTACCAACCGATTCTTCTCATTGGATCCCAAAACTTTTGTGTGCACGACATTTGTTCAAAACACAACCTTGACATGCTATAAATTTGATCCCCGCTCAATTAAATATATCTACCTCGGCTATTCTATCACTAAAAAAAGGATATTGGTGTTTTGATCCTACCACCAATAAAATTTATGTTAGTGATGGTGTATCTTTTTTTAAAAATGCCCCATTCTTTTCTATCTCTATCTCAAGTGAGAGGGAGCTTGCTTTTTTGGACACTGTTCCTTTTCCGAGCCCGATGGATAATTTTCCTACTCCTACAATCACTGTTCCCAATGCACCTGCGATCCCGCTAGAGTCGTCTCCAATCGAGCCAACACCACCACCACCCCCTCTCCATGTCTATAATCATCATACAAACCCCTCTATTGAGAGTCGTCCCAATGCAACCCGCTGCCCCGCTGCCTTGCTGTAGGTCTTGGAGTCCACTCTGGCCGACGTCCCCAGTACGATGCTCTCTCAAATTACGGGGGCCACTCATTATCCAAGTGAACGTTTGAACCTCTATATTGAGTTATGCAAACATGTACAATCATGCATACTTCACTGCCTTTATCCCATTACAAAATAAGTCTCCTTTCACATCGTATCTTCGTCCTACAAAGCATTTGCCACATCATTGACGGATTGTTGTCTCCCATCCACTATTGAGGCGGCTTTGGCTGACCGTCTTAGA